CACTGCTCTTATGTCGCCATACATTAATCAGTGAAATAAGCTTGCCATTAATCAAGATATTACCTGCCAAATGCCAGTAGAATGGGGCTAAAGGAAGCTTATTACATGCACAGCAAATGTACTGTCGGCACGTACATATTACAAATGCCTCGTCTTTCTGAAATGCCATCCCAGATTGTTAAGTGTCTCATTTGTTAACATTTGACATCGGCAGGTGCACATTCATCATTATGGAAGTAATGCAAGACTCATTGATTATTAAAACCTCAAAGTGGTTAGAAAGCGTTATAAATATAAATATCCTTGGGTTTCAAGTGAAGGGTTCGTGATGCTACTCAAATGAGTGAATCTAAAGGAATGTCCTCTCATTGTACAAGTATCTTACATGTACATGAACATGGGATATGTGCGTGAATCTGCATGGTATGCATGTTACTTGTAGTATGAACAGTTGGTACCGGTAGGTTTTACAGGAACCAAACTTTTAGGGACATTCAAAGTCCAACAACTCAATCCAGCTTACCTAAAAACAGAAAACTTCCCACGATGCAGTCCCTGCCAGGCCAGGGCACACCGACTGATTTCCGTAGTTGTTGGACCGCAGCCAAACATGTCAACCAGTTACCACTGGCCCCATGCCATATTGCTGCCAATACAAAGCTATTTAGTTTTATTATATCACCCAAGTAAATCCTTGTCATTTGATTTGAGGATTGTACCGGTAGGTCACGCGGCATTCATTAATCGAACCATTGCACGGCCTACATCATAACCGTGCATTTTTGGTTCCATACACTGTGCATTTTCCCATCCCTTTTGATCTATTGCACGCCGCGCACACGCTAAGACGCGCAGCGGCCTGGCGCTATACGATCTTTGCGTTACGTGTATATCATGCGTTATAGCCATAGGTTGTAGCAGACATTTAAACCGTTGTTTAAGCCTTGAACAATGTGAAGAAAAGTAGTGGATATGATACAATTTTGTGAGTTTTGTTTGTTCCTAAAGTTTTATCCTCCAAGCGAATGACAAAGATCTACTTGGATGTTATATAAAACAAATAATGAATGTTTGGCATTCGTGCAATGGAGAGAATATTTTCATGAGTTTAAAGATTGAATGTTCCATTCAATGAGGCAAAGCCGAGTTGAATGGAACATTCCATCTTTCAACTCATGAAAACCATTTCACATAGCGCACACTCAGTGTTCTAGCCAGGCATCAAATAGCGCTAGCACCCGCTACGCTTTCGGAAATAAGCGCTACGCTTAAATCGCGCCGCTACGCTACCGCTACGCTATAAATTTTGGTTGCGAAAAAAAAATATCTGCCGTTTGTTCGTTTACAAGCGCCGCGGCTTTGAGCATTGCGCACTGGCCATACGACACAGCGAAAAATAAACAACGATCCCACCGCACGTACCCCGTACGATACCCCTACCGTGATGCTGCGCCACACGCATTCGCTATGATAGCAATAAGCACGTACTGTTTTGTGCTGCGTAGATATATACAGCGCTCCGTACGGACGTACGTGTCACCAATTACATGTCACGTACAGAGCGCTCTGTGGACCACACCGTTTTGTGGTATCGGGTGTGCTTTCCTAAGGTCAATATTTACAAGCATTTCAACTGTTTTAAAATTATAAATAATACTTTTTATCAAGTCCGAAACATGTTACTGTTTGAAAATAAGTTCTTCAACGTCGGAACATAATTTTCGTAAAGGATTTATTCGAGAAACGATGTCCAAAGAAAGGTTAAGCACCCCTACGATATCAATGGATCCGTCCATAAAGATGGCCGCACGTGAAGAATTCTTCTCAAAGAATTTCGCTGTCGAAAATTTGGATTTTTGTCTACACAACTCGTTGCTGATAATAACAGTTCAATAAATTTGGTAGTAAAAACGGATCTGTTTGTTCTTAGGACAAAACCAATCAGCAAGTATTGCAACAAAGCAAGTTTTTTAGCGCTCCACGAATGCGTTGCTTTCTCAAATGCTGAGGGAAAATTTGGTCGCGTAGTTCGCCGGCGTAGCCGGTGTGGGCTGGCCTGCGCACGCACGTACGCCGGGCCGGCCGGGGCCGGCCGCGGCCGGGATAGGAAGCAATTCCCGGTGATTATTTCTCATCGTCATTATCTACAATTATATTTTTTAACATAACAAAAATGAGATTTCTCCTTCACATTGTGTTGTAGCATATTGGAATTGCAATCGCCGACGACTTTTTCTGTCTGAGACCTCCATGGTTTTACAATTTCTCTCCCTGCCAATCGGATGGTTTTATTTACAAATTTAAAATGGGAACTAGGCCCACTGCTACTACGGCAGCGCTATTCAACACAAGGCTTCTTGAAATATGAAATGTTCATGCGATTTGTTCTCGCACTTAATATTGACTACGTAAATCCCAAATTTTTATAAAACATTGACTGAGGAACTACTAAAAATGGTTAAACATCAGAAAGCATCGATCTTGGAACAATTTATTGTAAACATAATCTAAAATTTGAAAACAGAAGAACCTTTACAGGAGCAAGTGTATAAATCATTGAAACAAATAAAACAAAATTTCTGATAATTTTAAGCACTTCTGCAAAAAAAAATTCAGGGGAAAGTGGCAGGGAATCGCCTCAGATTGCACCACGGAGCATCTAGAGTCCAAAATTTTCCGGGGCCCTTAAGCGGGCCCCGGACCCCACGCCGTAAGGGCTTCGCGCTCCGCGCTCGCATTAGTCGTCAAACCAAAATTACCCCTACGCTATAATTTCACCCTGGCTAGAACCCTGCGCACACTACCACTTTATTCAAGTTTATTATTAATTTCTCAGGCCAAATACAAGACAATGAAAATCTATGACTGGTTTAAAATTCATTTACATGTAGTTACAAAAGTTACAAGTCACAATAAAGGAAAATATCAAAAGAACAAACAGCAAAAGGCTAAGATACGAGAACTTAAAGTACAGAAAACATTTTTAAAAACATTAAACATTATAAAGTTGCAGGCCTGAAGGATTTAGGATTGCCTACAAAGCTAAAAAAATAAAAACACACACAAAAAAGTTATCAGCTCTCCAACTACGGTACAACAGTACAATTATTTTTGCACAAGACACTGAAAAAAATACACAAAAAAACAACATGACAAACAGAACAGACAAAAGCACACAGAAGATAACAAATGGGCAAACAAACATATTTAAAAACAAAAACAAAAAACAAACAAACACCCCACAAGACAAAATACCGGTAAGAGACAAACACACAAGGCAAGACTTTCCAGCGAATTCTAAACAGATCTGTACCACTAGGGCCTATATAATATAGTTCCAAACCGCCTACACTATTCCCAATATATTTGGTGTTGGATTTTCTTTATTTGTTTACAGCTTACCTTCAAATGTATTTCATCTGTTTTAGTTAATTATTAACCAAGTTCTTTTGTGCCTGATCTAATTGTGTTTAAATTATCTTGCAGATTTTCTGTCGTAGAAATGCACACAATTTGGTCGGGATCCAAAGTATCGCCTACATACAGTATAAAGCTAGGGGGTTTGACTGTACAGTTATAAATTGAAGTTGTATTGCATTGTATGTAACACCATGTTTCTTGACTTAATTGATTTGGATTGACTTGATTTTTCTCCCAGCTGCACATCTTGCAAATGTGTCTATCCTATGATGAATTTGTGTCAAATTGCATCTCAATTAACCTCCCTTTAAATCACTTTTGGGATTTTCCCCTGATCCCAGTGACAGTTTTAAGGGCAGTGCACTCTCCGATTTACTCATTGCCTACATGAAAAACGTGTGTATGTCGTTATAGGTTGATCTGGCCTACTGTCCCATCTGTGGAAAATGTTGCCTCGTGAATGTACATGTACATGTAAATTTCCGCTCGCAAGGTCTTACTGTAATTGACTGTCAGATTGCATGCATGCAGGATCAATCCAGTTCACTGCCTCTGTCCTCTGACTCAGAATTGGAGATAGAATCAGAAAATCAGATGCTTGTACAGATGTACAATGTACGTATGCTCACAAGGGGAGATAGGTCTCGGGATGGGTTTTTTGTGTATTCTTGCCAAGTATTGAAATTATGTATACCTACGCTGTACATTTGTTGTACATATGTACATGTACATAGCTTCGACAAGCTTTGCCCTTGGCTTTTTAGGAGATTAGGGAATGCTTCATTGGCAAATTTGGAAACTTTTTCAGTGAGGATGATCTGGGGATCAAATTAGAACCTTCTGTTGGGACAATAATTTGAATATATTTCTTTGAACTCTCGGTTAACAATGTACGTCACAAAATGATTTTAGCTTTTGAATCTCAGAAACATTAAACTTGTGTCAGAGTGAAAGAGGAAACTAGAATGTGTGATTTGGATGGATTTATTCTGTCCGACAAGTATGAATGTAATAATATACAACATTTGCAAACATCAAAAAACAAAACTACCAAATTATTGTGAAATATACTTGACTCAAGCATCCTTAACCTATGCGCCTAAGCATCTTCATTCTTGGATCACGAAACTTTAAACACGTAACAATATTTGCTATAAACTACTAACCCCCAAATCCATCCATTTCTGAAAATTACAGCATTTTTGTTGTACCGGTACATGTATATTACATGTGCCTTTAAAGCTAAGTTTGATCATTGTTGCTTTGATGCCCACTTCAAAACTTTGATTTGTGCTTTGTGCCTGTCAAAAATAAAAATAAAATTCAGGGTTGGAATACATACATACATTGTAACCCTGAATTATTTTGTAAATACAATCATTTTTATTTAGAATTCCTTTTTTCTTTATTTTAAAGATGGGTTGTGTGTTCATTAAAAAATCTGTTTAGAATACCCCCATCTTTTAGTGAAGTGCTATGAAAAATAAATTGAATTTAAAAAAAAAAAGGAAAAGCAAAACATAAAACAAAAAAAGCCAAAATATATTACTAATTATTTTTGTCTGTTATATTCAAAATAGGAACGTCTTGCCCTAGTGAGCAGTTCCAGTGTCTGGATGGCAGCTGCATTGACCAATCAAAAGTTTGTAACTTTGCTGAAGATTGTCTACATGGGAATGACGAAGTGACGTGTAGTAAGTACATGTATGAATGCTTGTTTTCTGTGCATAACAGTGTCCGTCTATACATGTAGTTCCTATAGTTCACTAAAATCCTAATGATAGAAAGAACGTAGAACGTAGCAAGTTACGTTCCCTTTAATCTCCGCCTTTTCAAAACGCAGAGTGCTGTCGGAGCACTCTGACCCACTTTGAGTGTGCTAGTTTGCGCAGTGCTTGTGGGACTAAGTCACGCGCCTCCAGACATGCATTAGATCGTCCATTCATTGCTCACGTTCCATCTCCTATCATCATTGTCCCAGCTTCACAGCAAGCAAACCAATGAAACAACTTTAAGGTTGCTCCAGGCAATTCTGATCGCTCAAATGGAAAACCGGATTTGTTTCCCCATAGCCAATTTGGACTATAAATAGACCGATCTAAAGACCAGCAGATTTAACAGTTGGTGGACCTGTCGCATCAATAGTTTTACCAGGGAGAATTTTTTTTTCCTCAAATATTTTCAACTGATCCAAGACCTGAAAGTCATATCTTTGATGCTAACAGCATGTGGTTACAGATAAAAATACCGGTACTTTAATATTAATCCATCAGGAAAATTACATTTGCAATAAAAAAAAATTAGTATTATACATGTACAATCCTAAAGTTATACAATTTAACAAAAACACTAATATTTACAATGCTATATCCAAAACACGAACAATTACAATAATTTTAAGATTAAGGTTATACATGTACAATGTTGGATGTACATGTACATGTAATTAAAACATGTACAAAATACTTCACTAGCCTATCATTGTCAGTAATTCTTAAATACAAAAATAACTAACGCTTAGAATTGCGACTATGATTCTTATAAATCAGTTAATTTCCTAGTAATCAGCAAAGTCCTGTACATGTATCTTCTTCATCAGTTGATACCGGTACCGGTATGTGAACAGAGTTGATCAATGTCAAACACGGAGCATATATCCATATAATTGTGTAAATAGCCAATGTGATTGTGATGGTTAATAAATCACAAAGTAAAGAACAAAGGGTCAGAGAACTGATTATGTACGCACACGTGTACCGGTACCTTCAATTAATTTTTCTAATAGAAATACCGTACATGCTCTGGCCACGAGAGGAGAGACTGTCTGGCCCCAAGAGACTCCCAAGCCCTGAGAACTGATTTCGTTATTATTATTATTGATTATTTCTGGTAATGAAACCAAGGGTTCTTCAAAAGCGCCCCAAGCACTGTAGCTCGCAAGCCTGAAGAAACCTGTAGAGAGAAGACAGTGAGAAGAAATTACGGTTTTAGAGGTGGGAGGAAAACCCCAGAAGAATATTCTGGGGAAAACCTACGGAATCAGGTAGGGACTGAAAAAACATGTTGGCGCAGGCGGGATTCGAACCGGATCACAGCAGTGGACGGCAAAGAAAGTACTGCTACGCCAACCTGATTCCCATGAAGGAATTCAATCAAAATTATGGGAAGGTTGGAGAAATGAACATTGGTTCTGATATTTTCAATTTTAACTCTGCTGTACACATGCAAAGGTGCTATCGGGCAGAGGAATTGCTAAACAAATTGACAATCTGGTGACCCCTTGTTGCTGAGAAAATAAAACTGTTTTCGTTTCAAGCTAAATTGTGTGCTTATCAGCACCATAAAATCACACCTGCTTTTTAGGCACATTGTTGCACTTTCGGTTGCTTAACATTTTTTTGATAGATGAAGAGCTACCGGTAGTGGAGTTATCCCAAAAATATGCTCTCTTTAAATAGTCATGGCTTTCAATAGTAATCTGCTCTTGATCATTGTTCGGATTGAATACGCAAACCAATAAACTCTGTCAACATCCGATTTGATTGTCATTCGAATCACAATGGGAGAATGGAGTACCGTGGGTGCTGAGATTACATTTCCAGAAACAGCTCACTCCAGTTTATCTGATAAAAATGTCAAACTGCCAAACACTCCCCCCCCCCCTCCCCAAAGGAAAAATCATTGCAGCAATTAACCCAAGGTGTTAAAGTCCATCAACTCAATCAACAGCATGGATCTTTCAGTTTGCCTTTCTAGTAATTGAGGATCATTCATTGGGTGGTGATTCGCCACTCATCATTGGATATATTTTGAGCACTTGTTATCACTCATGGTTCATTTCTCATGTTGGGACACTTTTTTTCAGCAAGTATCAAATTCCTCCACCTTTTTTTGGTACATGTTCATTCTTTTGACAATCCTGGCAGATTTGTTAGAGGAAGGTTTTCAAAAGTACGACATGGCCTTTTTTTAACCTACCGGTAACTACCGGTAATGTGCATCAATTATGGAAATAGGAAAATCCACATTTACATACATTGTACTGGTATGTATGCATAAAGTAAGATATTTATGAAGTTTATTCATGTCTAGCATTTTGATAATAATTGCACACCCAACTTTGAATAATCAGACTAAATGCTCTTACTTTCACTCGCCTAAAACGTGTTGAGACTAGTCCTGTTTTGTTTTGGGAGTAACTTCTGTTACTGATGGTGCTGCCTACTCCTAGAACTATGAGGCTCCACGTAGGCAGCTTACTCCGCAAAACTGTTTGCCTCTACAAAACACCAACTAAGTACAAAAACGTCCATCACAACCAAGCTATTTCCCACAGAACCGCTGCACAGTTTGCCCCTAAACTTCGTACAATACCTCATGACATACTCACGTTATGTGCACCAAACAAACATCGGTGGATTCTGTCGGTTTTTCGGCCAAAATGATGAAAAATATGCCCTGTCCTCACTGAGCCAACCTGAAACGTGCACGTGCGCAGAATGATCGCAGTCATTTTCGGTTCGATCGCTCGGAGCGCGCCGTGGGGGGTTCGTACTTGCACTTGTACGCATGCGCATATTATCGTTCCGCTCCTACCATATGGTGCTACATTGTACATTAGGCCTGTTGTGTCATTGACCATTGCAACCACTTATGACAGTGTTGCTACAGTGAATAGGACCTCTTTACTGCATGCACACCGGTATTTCATGCTCTTTTTCAATTTAACAATATAGCTTCATCTATTCCATCGGGTAGAATAAAAAGACTAGATCGGCAGCACGTGCATATGCGCAGCCTTACATGGAGGGTCACGTGCTGGAGGACAAATACAAATTGCCCGCTAGACGTGACGAATGCAACGCCGTTTACGCGCACAATGCGTGTTTGCTACTTGATTGGAGACCTTCAATGCTGATAATTAAAATACACAAGAGAATAAATAAGATAACACTGTTCTCATTATGTTGAAATCCCAGTCTACTCTTGTAGTTTATTTCAATTAAATATGGATGATTATGATTATGACTAGGGCCTAATAGCAAAATTGGTTGTCTTAAACAGGTTTCTAAGTTTGCAGAAAATAAACTGATTATACCTTCATCGAAGTGAAAAGCGGCATGCCAACGTGTGAGCGAGCGTGAGCGCAGCGCGTAAATACTCAGTGCGCATTTCTAGCTCCACGAGCATTCAGCTAGGTCACGTGCTAGAGGACAATTACCGGTACATTTTTATAGCTGTATTACTTTACGTTACTTTATTGCGCGTCCACGAGCGACAACAAAAATGGTGGCGATTTATCACACAGTGAATGGGCGCGTTCGGACGTGCTGCCGATCAAGTCTTTTTGTTCTTTATCTATGATCTATTCTAACTCGTGAAGATGCAAGTTACTGAAACTCACTATTCTGATACGCTTTTTAAACTGTGGGTATTATTTTATCAAAGACTTCCTTTTCATGATACATCCGTGCAGTATGCCTTCCGAGGAATAAAATGTGGGTTTTTTGCTGATACAGAATTGAAAGCATGTCCTATCCTTTTATTTCAGGTATCAAGTGTGACTTTGAGACGCCGTGTCCCTGGGGAACCCCAGCAGTCTCCAGCGGGGTACCAGGCTGGGAGGTTCACAGTGGTCCTACAGAGACGTCTGGTACCGGACCCTCAGGTGGTCAGAGCCATACAGGCAGTGATGGTATGTTGTCTTGACACCGTTTTTTATTTGGTTGGTATCTCGTCCTGTGTGGTTCCTTTCTAGGGCTGTCCCAAATATACTGAATACTCAAACATTCGATCATCAACCGAATATTTGAATAGCTTTTTGCCTGTTTGAATATTAAAAAACAAAACAAAAAAAACCCGCGTACAAACATGACTGTGATGTTATTTTATCAAGAAGTTGCACCTGCAGCTCTTTATTGTCAGGTGCCACTTTTTGTCGACGGTAACTTTCTTTGTCGACAGCCTTATTTCTTCCTTGATTTATGATTCATTATCATTAGATAGGCCCTATCTGTCACGTTAGGTTTGACAACCAGACTGTGAACTGTCATGCAGTAATGACTTGTCCGTGCTACAAGGCACTGTGTTTTTTATAACCAAGTCATCACAAGTCAATCACAGTGCAATCATGAGTCAGTTGATTAGTCATCCACTCTCAAGCCGGGTGAAAAGCTTTACAAATCAATTGTGACAAAAGGCTTTTCTTTTGTAATTGTTCATACTTACATGTATCCCCAGGTTCTTGGGGTTTGACTCATAATTTGACTTGATGGAGGTCTAATTAAATTGATGGCATTCATTTCTCATGACAGCATGGGAATAATAAGCACAGATATTCTACAAAGTAGTTTCATAACTTGACTACATTCATTTAATCAGTTTGCGTCGGATGACATGGTAACACGATATGGCAGGTTTTATACACAGGCACGACTGACTGGTTAAAACGTCAAACATGCCTCGACTTGCCTCCGGATGATGTCTAAACATGCTTATCCCTTATTTGTTTTGTACACACACTCAAAGTCAGAGAAGTCTGTGGAGGCAGACCATGTGTTGAACGAGGCCGCTGTGCACGGCCAGTTGTGGTACAATTTACGCTCCGCGGGCACACCCCGGATTGTTAAAATATATGAGGTTGGGGTAAGAAATGTATCGTCAAAATAATGTCAAAATGACTCTTGCAAATCAGTATTTGTGGCGTTTGGCTGTATATCAAAAGTTGTCTGCTATATTTTAAAATATTTTGAATTAATTTTCGGCAAAAATAATCCATCACTAAGTGGTTCAAAATCACAAATGTATTCATAAGGTGGAATCTGCGTTGGGGTGATATAAACTATTGGGTTTTACATCACCGCGACGCAATTATTCTTATGATTAGTTTCATTGCGGTACCCATTGCTGATTTAAACCAGCTAGCCGACCCCGGCAAGCTTCCTGGTCGAGTGGTCAGGCGTCTGCGCTAGTAAGCAGGAGGTCATGGGTTTGAGTCCCACCTGGGTGATTTTTCTCAAAATCACTCTGGGGCAACACTCAGCATACAGTGTCTGTAAAAATATGTCTATGAAAGGGCAAAAACCCAATATTAAAATCACAAATTTGCTTCTAAACACATTCCTGTATAAAATCCGTTTCTCAATGATTACTCACAAATTTTGAAACAAAAAGTTCACAAAATACAAGTAATCCTTAAATCATGTAAATGCTGAAATTGGTTACCAAGGTTGTCCATGATGATGGCATGTGAGACCTACCGGTACCAGACATTTTTGTCATTTAGTGATACCGTACTTTCAAATGGAGGTTTTTCTTGGTCAAACACAGCATAAAAGTACCGGTAAGTTGGAAAAAAAATCATACATGCACGTACAAAAATGTACATAGCCCCAGGAGGGTCCGTCCTTCATGGAACGCCCTAAGAAAAAACTCTACACCATTGATACAGAACAAATGATGCTTCTTGTGGTTACCATTCTTCTCATGGGAAATCACATGCAGGTGGCTGAAGGCAATTGATTCCTGTGGGCGGTAATTAGAATCACTGTCAGTTTCTCTGATTTATTGATTTGGGTATGTAATTCTCAAAGGCCAGACTATTTGTAACGTTTTTGTGATACAATTTTGGCAACAGTAAAATCAAGGATTCATTTCAAAACATCAAAGCAGTTTCAGCTGTTCAACTAGGCATGCAGGTGTAATCAATAGTACACAATGTTTGTCTGCCTTAAGTACGTAGCCCACAGTGTTTTGTATATGTATGCCTGGGAGTTCGTCTGCAACAAGGTGATGACGCCTGAGTTACCCAACAGGCAAGAGTTCTTTTGTTATACCACGTGATATTATTTTTCACAAACCATTGGAGCCTTTAAGTTATACAAAAAATAATTCATTGACATTTAATGGTGAACTTTTCAAATATAAACTTACACACTTGCACTGTACACTTTGACAGGGGTGATAAAGAGAATGTTAGCAGACTCAACATGTACATAGCTACATCCTACACTATAAATTGGATGGTATGTTTGAAGAAATATCATCCAAAACAAGTTCCGATTTTTTAACCCCGGCTCGGCTGACATGTTTATTGCAATAAAAGTGTGTATTTAACGGGTAGTACGGGAATCGGGTACCTGATTGAACAATCACGGGTACCTGTTAAAGAAACCAACCCCAAAATTGATATCTCAGAAGTTGCTGTACAGATTGTCCATTAAGGTCCGCCTGATAATACTACCGCATCTGTGTGTCAAAACAACAAGATACAAGTGTGTACAGTCAGCTCAATCCACTCCGTTCACAAGTACCTCCCTCACTGGCAAAGAAGGTACAGTTGGGTTGATCAACCGACGCCATCTTGCCTGACTGCAAATAGTACAAATCTTCTGGTGTACGTGCATCATACACAAGGAACAGTGCTTGTCAACCAGCTAAATGTCCCACCCATGGGACGTCGTTGCTAGGTAAAAGACCGCCCTCTTTTGTTGGCGCACGGGGCCAATAGGCCTGCATGTGTAGCTTTAAGTTGCATTGTCGCAAAGCGCGTACATTGTAAACATGAATCTGTTTTATTTTTTTTTCATTTAACCTAGTTTTCATTTTGAAAATTCTCCACAGGTGGCATTCGAATCCTTTCTTTTTCATTATCTGAGAGGTTACTTTTAAGTAATATGTAAAGTTGTAGACAGGTATCTCAATAACTGGAACCAGTTCCTGACATCTGTGATTGGGTACCCGAGTACCCGGTTCTGATGCACACCCCTAATTGCAGTTCATCTCCTGGTAAATACGTAGCTCTGATGCAGCTGGCCAAAGTAATTGATTCCGTTGAACGGTAATTGGAATTTCTTTTGAGTGTCCCAATGTATTGATTGTCTGCATGATTCTCCAAAGTCAAACAGATCGAAATGTTTCCTCAACATAATGGCTTTAATTATGTGAGATCAAAGAACCCCCGTGTGTCATTAGACAGATTAAAGCTGTTCAAATGTGCCTGCGCATGTAATCATTAACCAGTGTTGTCCAACTGTTTCACTAATGGTTGTATTTCAAACAAAACTTGAAAGTAACATCCTGCAGCCAGACATGGTTAATTGGTATACATGTATGTGCGGAAGCGGCAAAGGAACAAAGCATGCAGTTTGGTGCCAGGTAGCCGCATTCATGTAGCAGGAGTTGATCAGGTTCCAGCTGTGCTGGGGAAAAAAAACATGAAAGAAAATTAATTCTCAAGGGGTTGATTTAAAAGAAAGAGAGAAAAAAAGAAAAGTACTGACAATTTCTGGAAATATACTTACATGTATCAAAAAGTTTTTATGAGAAATTTGAAGAAAATAATTGTCCTTAACAAGGAAAAAAAGGGTGAAAATGAGTTTGAATTGAAAATTAAATTAAAAATCAAAAATAAGATGCAATTTTAGGCGATAGAAAGAATTTCAGAAGACTACAAATGCCATGCCCAAATCAAGACATAATTTCAGAAAAATATTGAAAAAATGAAAACAAAAAAAGCCTTGCACTGTACAGTTGCAATGGTTCATGTCATCTTCAAAGTTCAACAGCTCTTTATAACTATAGAAGATGGGCGGGACATACATTGTATACGTTTCGCTGGTTGATGTACCGGTATGCGCACCATTCCTTGTGTGTGACACACGTACACCAGGGAATTTGTACTTTGTACACGCAGCGGCCGCGCTTCGCGGCAAAATATTGCAGTCAGGCAAGATGGCGTCGTTCGGTCACCCCCAACTGTACTTTGTTTGCCGGTGAGGGGGTACTTGTGAACATATACTGCCCCAAACCGCCCTGTCTGTCTATACTACGCGAAACTGCCTAAGCACTGCATGATGTGTATCACGGATTCTTCAGGGACTAAATTTCTATACAATAAAATGTTATTCAAGTGATAATGGGATGCATTTTTGAGCTCAACATTTTTTTATCACCCTATTCCACCCTTGCACATTACAGTGTCACGAACACTTTTGAGAAATCATTCAGATCATTGCATTCTCAGCCCTCTCAGGGCTTGCATTCCTGGCCCTCACATCCAACCAAGGCTTGTAGAATATTGAGTGTCTCAGGCAGGGCTAACATTTCATGTTAAAATCCACTACACAACAGGGCTATATAGTAAGAAAACATGTTACGTGACAAGTTACACTACTTGACTGGCACACAAGTGCATTCTAAACTAGAATGATGAGATGTTTTTGTGAAGGTGGAAGTCAAGTATTGAATAAGAAGATTTTGTTCCTTGTTAATGAGGGAATATACATGTATATGTACTTGTCTGGTTTTAAACAAGTACATTTACAAACGGGCTTGGGGAAGGGATGCTGATAATGACCCAAACTGAAGGCGAGACCGCGACCAGGCTCCAAGCAGGTTTTAAACGTACTTGTTAAACACCCGCCAAACACATGTTTATTCCCATTCATTATACAATTGGGTCAAAAATTCAAAACAAGTCAAAAATTGTAAATTTCCAAAGATTTTGTTTCATAAGTTTAATTCATGTTTTTTGCAACACCTCTCTATGTTATGGTATTTGGTAGGTATGTGCCTCTTGCGAGTAGTACTAAAAATCTACTTATATGAAGATTGGCGTGCAACTGGCGCGTACTGTACTGCGCGATGTGGCGCAGAACCAACCATGCCGGTGTACCTGTAGTGTGAATTTAGGAC